TCCTACAGATTCATGCAAGTAAGTAACTGAACTGAAACTGAATTATAGCTGTCGGATGTGGCTTTAAAAAGTTTGAACTTCGAATCCCCGCCGTTTGTATGTACGTTATCTAAAATCTCGATAACTTAAAATCCTATTTTGTGTAAGGTTTAACTGAAATTTCTTATAATTTAAATTGTCAGTTATCTTTTTTTCTTTTTTTTTTAATAAAATAGACTTTCAATTATAGGTTTTAAATTTGATCGTGTAAAAGACCGCTCACAGTTTAGTTTAAATTAAAATGTAATCAAATTTTAGAAACCATAATTAATAATTAACTAATTAAGAATAATTATACAAATTAGAAAAAAATAGGACATTTTGTAACATTTTTAATGGCAATAAGTCGACTGGGGGACAATTAGTAATGAAGCTCTGATACTCACGTATTTTGTACATATATATTTATTATATAATTATTAATTAGTATAAATATAAACAAAGTTTACAAACGTTGTAACAGAACTAAAATGTTAAGCTATTTTTCAATTTTAATTAAGTTTTAGTACATTAGTGATGTAAAATTTTCTATAATATTGTGTTAAATTTCGGAAATTCAATAAATTTCTGGAATTATTACTAAAGCAGTGATCGTGTCTGACACGAAGTTAGAATAATTTACGATTATATTATAATTAATATTACAGTGTTGCTTATCTGTTGTCGAAATAAAATGCATGCGCATTGCATTAAATAAAAATTAATTTAAAAAAAAAAAAATTTAACACCACCGATTGATTACACGCTCACTGATTCTTGATCGATCTCAATCAAATTTAAATCGATAATCATACATACTACACAAGTGAACTACGATATTTGATATTATTTCTGCTTCCGATCAATATTGCGAAACACTGTAGTTTTTCGACATCGATTGTTTTATTTACATTATATAAACCGAATTATTACGAGTGCCTATGATGTGCGGGAAAATAGTAATCAGTGAGAGAAGCGCGGGCGAATTTCGGCCGTTGGCAGGAATAAAGAGCCTGTCATAATATGTTCGAGAATTTCCGTAAATCGCTCGCTGTCCTTTCCACGCCTTTTTCAGTATACCAAACCATCTATCATAAACCATCTCTTTGTTTGGTATCTATACGGTTCTGTCTGGTGGTGTCGTTGTGTATTCGTGATGTCCATTATAACCGATAATACCGATGGCCGGTACAAATTACCGAACGGTGACACAAATTATTGTAGGTAGGACTAGGTACATAATACAATTTAACTAATAAGTTTATTTGACCCCAACCTTACGGAAAACGGAACTATTATGATAACTCACCACGAACACGCCAATGGCTATTGCAGTGTAATTATAGCAAACAATTTTTAAGTATTGCTCTAAACATAATTTATCATTCCCGCTCCGTTATTAGGAAAACTTCAAGGAAAATAAAAAAAATGACCTTCCTAGACTATATTTGCAATTAAAAAAAACTCCTAGAAGATTAAGTTATAGGTTTCGGAGCAAGATTTCTGGAAATAGAAAAGTTGTTCACGGACAACAAAAGAAAAAAGTACACAACATACAACAACTGATATGCCAATATGCTCAGTAGTCCGATGAAAAGTCGTTTCGTTATTTATTGCTGGGTCTTTCAAATTCAGAGCATAGCGAAAAATTTATTGATTTTACTATTACGCCGGGTTTTATTCAGTTTGTAAACAACTTTTCTAACAGAAATCTTGGAAAATTAGTCCGACCATCGACTTCAGTAGAGGGGGTTTGCGGGCGAATGCCGGAAGAATTTCGTTCGATAACTTAGCATATTTGTAATATTTTAGTGTAAAAAACACTAACCAATATTTAATTTATTATCGATTAAATCGAATAGCTGTTGAATCGATTATGTTTTTTTTAGGGTATACTATGATAATTGCGACTATATTATTAAATAATTATCGGCGGGTATGCATTATTTGGAATTTCGTTAAAGAAGGAAAAAAAAATCAAAAGACCAAAACCACATAAACCACAGGGAAAGAATGAAAATAAAACACAAAAACAATTTTAAATGATGATCCGATGACGGACTAATAATATAATTCCGTATGCGTGTGTTTGCTGTCATGTACTGAAAAAATATTATAATATTCTGTCCGTGTGACTTTCGACACGTGCGTCGTAGTACAACACGTCGACAAATTATTGCACTTTTTAATTTCGTTCGTACACTCATGTATACATGTTGTAAATAATGTTCTGCGGTCGCATATATTTTAATGGAAGACAATAAACGTCGGTTGATTGCATACATTATCTAATAAACCTTTGTAAGACTATAATATCTTCTTCGTTATACTATAAAATTACGGAATTATTAAGAACCAATGTACGACGACGACGATAATATAACGCGAAAGGATGATCTATATTTATTACGAACCAGAAATTTTCGGGAAGAATTTTAAGTGAATTTTATTTCTGTATTTTTTTTTCCTCAGTCATTAAAAAATAATTTGAGCTACGATTTAATACTGTTTGATTTTTTTTCTCCCATGTATTCTTAAACCTTAAATGAATAAGAAAAGGTTGTACAGATTAATACATTTATCTTCTAAAAAAAGACAGATATACTTCACACGATGTAGGGTGGACCACTGTTATAGGAGAGAAGTTGTAAGATAGGATATATATATAAATTTAAAGTACATTTGTACGTAATGAATGATTATTGCTAATGAAAAATGATTCAGAGCGGAATTCGGTTTTACATATTTTAAAAGGCCGTAATATTTACGATTTTCATTAAAATTTAATATTCAAATTATTAAAAAAAAAAAAAATTAACGTTAAACTTAATTATCTTTTAACCACATAGTATGACTTATGATGAACCTCCTGTTAAATTGTCAAGTATTTCTGTAAAGTCCAAAGAGTCTACCAGTACCGTTCAGATAAAATTTCCTTTCAGAAAAGGTGTTATAGTTGAAAATCTAAATAAGATTCCTGGTAGTAAAATTGTTCACTAAAAATAAATAAATAATAAACAGTATGGTAAAACCAATACATTCTCCACTCCGTTTAGAGTTTTTGAAGTTTATTAACCTTTTCACTATTTCTTCGGCCTAGAGACCGGAAAATCCTAAACTGTTATAACTCACAAATGACAAATCCAATATTAAATAGTAATACGAATATTAAAATTTTTATAAAATTATTTTCTATTCGAATTTGTATTCAAACAGAGGGGGAGTGCCTATTTGAAAAATCAAAAGTGTTTGGTCGTTTAAGATACAAAGAATAGGGGTGACAAATTGAAAATATTGTTGAAAAAACATAAAACTGTTCCGTATTTTAATGATTGCAAAAAAAAAAAAAAAAATAAAACTGAAATCAAATATATTGCTTTAAACATTCCGAGAAAATCGCTAATTCATGGATTATCATGTATATTACATCGACTGTAACACACATTGTCCGGCACTTGAAATAACTTTCGTTCCGTTCAATTGGCAGGCGCCGGGCATCTCGGATCTTGTAAAAGAATTTTGTTTTATTTTTAGTTTTTTTTTAAAAAAAAATACACGACGTAGAGGAACCATGAGGTCGAAAGGTCCGAGAAGTTGTTACGAGAAAAAAAAGAAACTTAAAAATAACGAACATGTGTACAACGCACAGTAATACAATTACGACTGTTTATGCTGCGATTATCACGGCGACGGCCTCCGTTAACGTTAACAATATCACTGTGTCGCTATATTGTTTTATAATACTAATACATTTTATACCTACCGCGAGCCGGCGATTTGCATAAAACATAATACACGACTACAGTGGCCCCCGCGCTCGAACAATCGGCTCTTTCCGTATCTGTATGCGCGGTACAATATCATTTTTATCGCGGCCCGTCCGGACAAACACCTACACACCTACCGAACGGCGGCGACTATTATTATAACGTTGTAGCGCGCAGTTATTTATTGGTGATTATATATAGGTACTTTATACACACACAAAAAACCATTGCGTTTGTTTAGCCGCAATAACAACGCGTAATAATATTATGCACATTAAATTATTCTCGCGCCGTTTTAAAATGTCCCCGGCGCCGTTGTCCTTTGTTTCGTTTTCATATTTTATACTCGCGAGTCTTTTGAAACGAAGCGTTAGCGTTATTATTGTCGTTACACCCCGTTGAAATAGCGGCGCGCAAAACTGCAGCAGGACCCCGCCGCACAGTCGGGCCCCGCGACATTAATCGAATAATCGTACGACTCCGATACGACTCCAATAAGAGTTATTATGATAATAGCACGCTATAATCGTAATGTTGTACGTGATATTACACTGTACTGCTAGTTCCTCCAGATCTATACGCAGCTGGTTACCGGAAAAATCGAAATATTATTGTAATAATATCACTAAAATCGGGTCACTAACGCGCATAACATTAGTCAAAGACAAAAACTTTTTCGGAGACAATATAAAAATGTTACCTTTTCTCAATTAATTGATTTCTTTATTTTTGAACTCTAATGGTGATGATTATAAAAAAAAATAAAAATAAACGCCTTTAAAGAATAAAAAAGTTTGTTACTTGTTGTTGACTTCTTGACACACTGACGCCATGAACATAATATAACCATTTTTATGACATTGATACCTTTTACTATTATTATTCTATAATACACATGCATTAAGCCTCTCGTGACTTGATACACATTTCATAAAGACGGTCCGAACAATATAGTTGCTGAATAGTAACTGGAAACCTTTTGCACAAACATTGATAACTATACATCACGTGTAACCATCGGATGCATCGTTAAATGTCCACCTTACGACGGTGATCCAGGGACGACGTCGTCTATCGTGTCGTGTGCCTTTTTCGTACTCTGATTGGCCGTTGCATAACATTCAGTAATCAGGACCTATCGGGAAATTTCCAAAGTCGGGCTGATTTTAGCTTTTCATTCGACATTTGGTCAGTTGGTTTTTCGACATTAACCACATATTATAATAATATTTGTGACACCATACAATACATGTGGTCCAAAAACCCCATATACGGTAGCCGATATCCTCGGGTAATACTACAGGGAGATGCGGACAAACCTGAGCGCCCAAAATCGATTATAATCATTAGTGTCCCGAACTCTGACCTCAACCGGGTTCAATGAACTGCTTTAAATCGCATAAGGCGGGTCGCGGGTGAAACCATCACGATTGAAATATTACTACAGGTTATATTGTAATCATACATAGTGTAGTCGCTGTGTTATCATAATAGTGTACAGTACCACACTGTATCGTAATAATATATTGTGCCTTTTTGGTTTATATAACTTGTATAACATTAAATGAAAAAAAATTTAAAAATGTTAATTGTGGATGAAACTGATGTTACATAAACGGGGAATGATCGACTCTTCACTTTTTCTCATTTTCTGTGAAAATAAAAGGGAATAACAAAATACTCACCACGTTGCCGAGGTGTACTAAACCACCCGCAGGTTCGAAGATGTTGGGATACCAGAGCTAAACGAGTAAAGACCTGGGGAACGGTTAAACGGATAATTAGTAAGAGGAACTCGTATTTAATTTATTTCGTGATATGAGTTGCGTTTCTAGATCTTAAATATTTAGGCTCATATCATTTAAAACGTAATTGCACAAATTTTACGTTTGCTCTTTCACTGCAGTATTTTTAAACGTCTTCTGCGGTTAGAGATTATAATTTTTGGTTTAAAACTGAAAGAGAAACAGGATAATAAGGGACACTAGGATAATAATATTACAATACTTAATTCTAATGACTGCTCGAAAAAATGGTCACTTGGCCGGGTGATATTTTAAAATTCCAGTCACAGGTATTCAGCAGAAATTAGAGACACAGAAATTGCACGATCTCAAAACAAGGGTATCATTAATATTGTTTCAGAAATATTTTAAAATGTCGGTAGTTTTTCGGGATGTCGGGAGTTTCCGTTGTGTGGGTTATTCTGTAGTAGCTGCAGTATATACGCGATTCCATTCAGTAAATACTAAGACGAATGACGTTCGATCGCGTAAACACACATAGAAATAGTAGAGCAGAAAAAAAAAAAAACGCAATATCATCCTCTTACGAATTCCTTCACTTAGATTCGACCTACCTAACAATTCCGGTCCCGCGTGTCTGTTGTTAATTAATGATACTGCTTCGGGGCGTCTTTTACCGGGTCCGCAAAGTCGTTTGCGCCGCAAAGGTTTCTAATCAAAACACCACGATTCGCTGATTAACCATAAAAGTATATACACGTATATATATATATATATATATATTGTTATCAATTTGATCGCCGAGGAGTGGTTAGAACGGGAGTCGCGCACATAAACGTCAGCGAACGACCGTTTGTAACTTTTACGAGGTGTGGAAACCCGCAGTCTTCCGTATAGTTTATGATTATAGCTTCGGAACCGAAATAAATATATCAATTACACCGTATACGGTAATTATTATTGATTTATATCCATAAATTGGTTGAGGTCGGTTTTGCTCTAAACGGATTCACGCCTTATATTATATAGTTTTTTTAAAAAAAAAAAAAAAAAACACCACAAACAGTGTGTATTTCCGGTAAATAAATTGTTTTCTTTATCGGAATATAATTTTTCTTTTAAATCTTTTTATATCTTTTTATTTTATTTTGAAAATCCCTTTTATGTTAAACAGCCGTTTATATGAGGGTCACAGAAAGAATGTTAGGTACCTATTTGCTTAATAATAAATTAAATTCGAAATTAAAACTGAATTAACCGAAATTAAAACAACTGAATATTAATTTTTTAAACAATAAAATTGATCTAGCGCATAGCCAACAGTGGAATTATTTTTACAGTTGTCCAGAATTTCTTAATATTTTAATAATGTATTCTATACACATTATCAGACTTTTCATCTTGTTATTTGAACTTACGAAAGTTGGAAAAAAAAAATGTCATGGCATTATGATTTTTTGGCACTTGATTAATAATATTCATTTTTTTTCTTTTAATTCATTGAAAAAATCTTACCTAATTTAAGACCGCCAAGTTCACCTAACTATTATATTATATATTATATGAAAAACATAAAAGTTACATTTTTACCTATTTTCTATTATAAGTTGTTTGAAAATGTCTTAAATTTTACAATCTTTTGACCTAGCAACCTGGGAAAAGACATAAGCTACTTCAAAACAAAAAATATTCAACCTCCCCCCTCAACCATCGTAATATCTTGTAATATATGTTTTTTATCGATTTTATGTATTACTCTGCCCGTGCACAGTAATGAAAACAACGTATTTTTTTTTTTTTTTTTAACAAGTTGGGCGAATGTGTTATTCTTTTTGAATATATATTAGTAGAACAGTATACTCGTGGCGTCCGTTCGCCCAGTCCGATTGCTTTCATCGTTATGAGTGACAATAATAAATTATTATTCATTGCTATTGTTGATGAAAATATATTTTGTAACGATAATATTAAAGACATTCAATAAGTGCAATTCATTATGACGCATTGCGATATCCACACATTTTTAGCATGAGCCACGGAGAGACTCGTTTTAATATTTTATTTTCATTAATTTGTTTTTTTTTATTCGATACTGTACACGGGAAAAGCTGAGCTTGACAGCTAAAAAAAAAAAAAAAAAAAAACATTTTTGAACATTTGTATATAATTTAACGATTAAGCACATTTGAATACGCGTCGAGATACTCGCGATGAAATTATAAATCTTTGGAAAACGCACTTTTGAAATGTGAGTCTGCAGTGAGCACTGGTTTTTTTTGTTTAAAAAATGAAACACGAAGTTTTTCATACGATAAAATTTAAAATTCTACATATTACCTAGTGAACTAATAGTAACTATAGAATTTTATTTGGCATATTTTACATTTTTATTCAACTGCAAAGATAATAGGTATAGAGTGTTTAGGTTTCGTGTATGTAAAAGACAATTTCTTTATTCTATCGCGATTTCTCTACTACTGGACCGATTTAGATGTATGTGATAGCCCAAATAAAATAGAACAGGTGACGCATTTAAAAAAATTAATGGGGTGGCCTGTACTAAATATTCTATATTACTAGAATACGTAAAAAAATGTTCGAAGAGATTCGGTTAAATATGTTTTTATAAACTAAAATTGGAAATCGTATTAAACTTTTTAGCATTTTAATAAATGTCAAACAAGATTTGTCTACGTAACTTGGAAAATACCTAGTAGCGACCCACCGTGATTTTACGATTTTCATCGAAATTTGAACTTAAAACGATTATAAAAATAATATCACGACAACAGAGTTGTGAGTTGTGAGCATTTTGAGTTAGTAGCAAAAACAATTTCACTGACACAAAACCAAATAAAAACCACAATCATATTGTACCTACGACAAAACAACAAAATTGTTTGAACGGTGAAAAATTGTTATTTTTCGTTACATAACCAATTTTGACAAAATTGGATTTTCAAACGTTTATAAAAAATCTTTGTGACATTGTACGGTTTTTTTTTTCTATCTCAAAAATTATTTCACATCATATTCCTGTAGTTTATTGTTTTAAATTGCATATAAAATGTTTCAGACTACAAACACTATATAGTCGTACTTATGACGACGCGGTCGTCAGACGACAAAATAAATGATTTCCGCGTTTATGTAGACATTTTATTTTACGTTTACTATAGTTAAATTATTGAATTGGTATATTTGATTTTTTTTAAATATTATATAGGTAGATGATTCGAATATTGCCTGTGTTATAATTCGTGGATGCGCGTGAAAAAAGTGTACAGCCACCGATTTGTGAAAAATTAGTTATTTACACACACAAAAATCTTTTTTTCGTGTGTTTCAACTTCAGTATGTCCCGTACTGCAGTGACTTAAAGTATAATTTACTTCTCAAATGCGCCGTATAAAGAAATTTAAGTCCACTTGACCTAAATTAAATGTTTCCTGAATCTATTGTTAATTAGGTAAAGTCACTTATAAATTAATTAAATCAATGTACCAACATATTGTGTTACATTTTAAATCGATGTGAAAAACACCAGCATTTTGAATATAAAATATACAAATTATGTTAAACAATACAGAACAATACATAGAATTGTCCAATACTTAAATTATGGGAAAATATTAAAATGCTAATTTTTCGGTTTACAATTAAATTTTATTTTTATTCTGCTAATTATTTTAATAAATTGGGACGTATATGTATTGACATGTTTACCCGTTTGTGTACGCGCACGGTAATCACATTTCATGTTTCTCGTATCGACGTGAGACGATTGTAAGTAAAGCGATTTTCTTAATCGATTTTTCCCAATTTAACTTTATCCCAAATTTTAAATTAATTTCCGAAATAAAAATTCCCTATATTATTTCCAAAATTTAAACTAATTTCCGGAAAAAAAAGTTATTTTAAAAATATACGTTCACCTTGACAGACCCACGCGTATTTGCGGTCGGTCAGAGTTTTGTCACAATAAGCGCAGGCGACAGTATGGCGCGAGTGCGTATATTTCCGAGAACAATCAGCGACACTTTTATCGTGGCAATATTTTATTGAAAAACGAACTGTTGGGGAAAATATTAATTATTAGGAAGTATAGTCGTTGAGGGAAATCATTTTAGAGGGAGATTGAGGGGGGGGGGAGAAAACAGATTGGCCCACAATTATCTACCTGCAGTCCGCCGAAAGACGTTTCGGGATTTCGTCACGTTATATTACGTGTGTTTCGGGTTACTACGTGTATTTTTTATTCATTTGCTTTCGTACCTAATCTAACCTATACCTACCTACTCACACACATACACACACACACACACACACACACACATGTACAATATTCTTTAGCTTACGATAAATTCGATTTGTTTCGTTTCCGTCTTGTCAGTATACAGGCGACGACAGCCGCGACTATATATTTACTATAAGGCGATGACGACGCGAGCCCGCGAAATTGCCAAAATAACGATAACAAAAATCTAGTAAAAAAAAAATACTTTCCTATATATATTGAGCACATAATCACATTTATACTATCTTTTTTATTTGCCGTAACGTTTGTGTTTGCGTTTTATTTTTTTCCCTCTCTCTTCATCCGATATCATTAGTCGAGGTAGCTCAGTTTTTCATTGACACGCCGAAAACACGATGTTCGTAAATATTGACTGGGGTAAAACTATAGTGATGAGACGACACGATGAGTAAAGTGTATACTGTTGTTGGCGTAAAATATTATTATTATTATTCACTGCGCAAACTTGACTTGTTACAAGTTTACACAAGTATTCCGGTGGATAATCTCATCGTATACAACTACGACGCGACGCCTGCGTTGTCGGTTCGTCTTAAACTCTTAATAATTTATAAACGTCTATAAGTATACGTACGCCAACGTGATTACAAATAATGATAAATTAACCGTTTTCATTATTCATATAATAATAATCTATTTTCAAAATCGGCTACACATGGTTTTTTGGAAATTTTACGAAAAAGAAGAATAAAAGGGGGGAGGTTATAAGAGCGAACAGACGGTATTTATATCAAAATGTTGGAAAAAAAACTGTAGGATTAGTGCATTGAAGGCTATTAATTTTTAAAACATATTTGGATTGATTAACGAGTTTCTTAGGTTTTAACGGAGGTGTTTTTAAATATTGCTAAAAACGTACGAGTTATGACGAAGCATACAAACAGAAGAATATCATATTTATGTGACTCTCTATCGCAAATGGGGGAAAAAAAAAAATCAGATATTTGAAATCATTTCCGTCATAACATATAGTAAACCTGTTAATCAATCAAAATCAAAATTAATATCCATCAAACCAAATAAAATATTTACAATTTTGTCTGCCCTTTCAGTTTTAAATACCACATACGTCCTGCAAAAATGGCCATAGCTCTTCCACTAAAAGAGCAGTAAATTAGTGTAAAAGTTTCATCATTAATATTAAAATAAAAAATTTGAAAATCGCCAGCATTACGATTTTACTCAACGTTTACGTTTGATCAATTTGTGTCACGAATTTTGATACTATATACACAAATTGTTCTCAATGTCATATGAATTTAAAATTATAAACTATCACTCTCACTTAGCGATAATCACATAGCTAGATATAAAACTGAATTTTAATATTTTTATAGGTTAGTATAGATTTTTTATCGTCTTTTTTGTTCTTTTTTTTTTAATATTATTATTTAAAATATACACACCCATTTATAATTTGTGAGTTTAATTATTTTATTTATATCATGAATAATCATTTTCCTAAACGCAAATTATTACGTTATATTAATCAAACAATACAAATTATATTAAAAACTAACTAAATTCTATTATATTTAGTAAATTCTCGTATTCGTTATTGTAAACTAGTAATAACGTAACTCCGCAATTGACTTAACTCGCTAAATCATAACGGCTGAACTTTAAAAATAATTTTCCATATCAAATGTTTAGTGCCGTATGCGTAATATCAAATCTTAGCGAAACAGACTGCCGTCACTGTTAGAGGCTATAGGAATAGATGACGTCTGGCTATTAAATAACGAGACTACTCATGAAAAATGGTTTTATTTTAAAAATTATTTCACAACCGAATGTTCCCCTTCAATATACTCACCTCCCCTCTTCACACACCGTTTTATTGGTTTCTTCTATTGCTCGAGGCAGTGCTGGAAGTCTGTTTTCGTAAGACCATTCAGGAGTTCCACCGATTTTTGTTTCACCACTTCCATCGACTCAAACCGGATTCCTTTTAAGGCAGACTTTATCTTCGAAAACAAGTAAAAGTCGCAGGGTGCCAAGTCGGGTGAGTAAGACGCGTATTCGAGTACTGGAGTGCCTTAAGCGGCCAAATAACGCTTCACAGACAGCGCGTTATGGGCAGGTGCGTTATCCTGATGCAAGATCTACGACTTGTTTTTCCACAATATCGACCGTTTCTTACGAACTCATTCGCGCAATGTTGCCAAAACTGTCAAATAGTAATGCTGATTCACAGTTTGACCCTCTGGAACCAATTCAGTCATCACGATGCCGTTGATATCGAAGAAAACGATCAGCGTGGTTTTGAATTTGGATTACGACTGAATTGGATTCCGGTGCACTCTCGACCTTCAGAAAATAATTTATGCCACTCAAAAACACGCGCCCGAGATAGGAAATCCTCACTATAGGCCTTCCAGCTAACCAGCGCTGTATTCGGTTTTTCCTTAACCTTTTTGAAACGCTCTTTGCGTGTGCAGTCTCGTTATTTAATAGCCAAACCTCGTATTACCACGCTTATCCTAGAAAATAATTTTTGTGTTAAATTGTTTTATTCAAAAATGTTCAATGTACTCAAATTCAACATTTTAAAAATGTATATGATATTCAATTACTATTATTATTTGTATTCAAGTACTAATTTATCACATTAACAATATTTTAAAAAGTTATTCTATCAATAATATAGGGTCAATCGAGTTTGAATTTTTATTATTTTAACGAAAACTGGAAAAATATATGGATAGTTAATCCAAGATTAATTGATTGAATAACATAAATTTGAAAATTCATTAGAATATACTTATTATACATGTAAATTGATAGTTTAACTTCTTTTTTTTTTTAATTTACAAATCAGAGTTGCAAATTGACTGCGTCTTAAACGACACTTTTAAAAAAAATATGAAAATTAAATTTCAAATTAATATCATTTATAATTTTGACAATCGTAAAGTATTAAACGACCCTATGATGCAGTGGACAATCTTCTCCTTTACTTAATTTGTATGTAACTTACATTCGAGGGAGAATCTAGCATCTATTTACGGTCAGGGTACTTATTATAGATGAAATAGTTAAAAGTCTAGACTGTAATTTATACATTTTGTTTTAGAAATGTGTGGTTTTGACTCAAAAAGTGTTTGATTTTGGTCTATCTTATTTAACTCAAAACACACCCAGATTTTCGAAATTTAATTTTTGTATGTATTTCAAGTATGTTTTTACATAAAATATTAATAATATTATACATGAATTATGAATACATGATACATATATAAAACCATATCACACTAAACAAAACAATAATTTTTTACTTTTTTGGTTACAAGGGTGGCACTTGTCTCTAGTTCCCACTTGGATTTGTCTTTGCTCGCACTGACTTATTAGGATACGTAGTTAAAAATCTCAAAGAGTAGTAGACCGAGAACAAAAATGATATACTGACACCCTGTATATAGTTACTAATTTTTTTTTTTTTTTATAATATTTGTACGGTTTGCGGAATTGTTATATATATGGTTCCCAATTTTAAGAAGAAAGAAAGATGGATATAATGTCACGGGCAAGTAAAAACAAATATTTCGCTTTTAAAATGTGTGGAGGTTGGTTGGTCTTTAAGTATATTATTTATGAGTGAAAAATTACTGAGGATGCGTACAACGTTTATTTATTTATTATTATTTTATGTCCTACGTCTCTGCGTAATAACTTTTTCTCGGGGTTGTTCTTTATATAGTATAAGACGGAAATTTTGTATTTTTTTTTCACCAGTCGCGAAGCACTCGATAAAATATAACATATGAAGAATAATATTACGTAATATTATATTCATCTACGAAAAGGATAACTTTTTTTTTAGGTTTTAACCCAAGAGACAGCGTAAAACAAAAACAGTAGGTATTAACCAAAAAAAAAAAAAATAAATAAATAAAATATATTGTGTATCGAGTTTTCCAAATACTATGGCATGATGGATAGATTTTATAGATTTTTTATAGATTTTATTTCACTATGAAATATTTCTTAGTAGGAAACGAGTTAATTTATGCATTTTTATTATGTAATTTTTTTTCGGTTTATTTTTTAGTAAATGACATAATTGCATTTTCAAAATTTAATCTGTTTGTATTGGAAACTATACAAACTTGACTTAAATCCACCTTTCCTGAGATTTGGTTTAATTATTTCAAAAATTACTTATATGTAAAAACTTTTTGAAACCATAATTTAAGTATTATTCTATACATTTGATTATTTATAAATTTATTTTATTCATAATAAAAGGTCAAGTTTTAAGAGTAACTTTTAATGTCAAACAGATACCTATATTTTTAAAATATTATGATTCTTGTACGGCTTAATTTCTAATGATGTATTTAGTTGCGTTTTTCCGTTTTTCCTAGTATGATTTTCTCCTGTTCTCTCAATTATTAGGAAAACTATAAGGGAAATCAACAAATAACTTCTTTAACGCATCAATTATACTAGGCAAAATTTATAACCAGAAATCAAAGTTAGCCAAGTTAATGAAAATAACTAACAAAAAGATCCTTAGTTAAAAGTTAACAAATAATACTAGCTAAAGTTAATTTTAAGTTAAGTTTACTTTAAACTTAACTTTGTTAAAAAAAAGTTTTTTTTTGCTATAAAAATCAATATTAAAAATATTCAATATAAAGTAATATATATTTCTAGAAAATAATTTAAATTATATTTGTAAAATTGTAATAGACATAATTCACAGTACTGATGGCTAATTAAAATTGATTTTTGAATATTAGAACATGTGTCTTCAATTCGTTAACTTAACTGTATGTCTATTTAAATTTTGAAAACCTAAAATTAGTTTACGATAAAAATAATTTAAATTTTATCTTTTTAACTATATAGTTCATCATTAGCCATTATTTCCATAAATCATTGATGACCCAGCCTAATGTCGACGATCCGATCGAGATTTCCAATAGAAAAATTTCTTAACAGGCATAACAAATAAATGCACATCATATTTGTTAAACCAATATTCGTACACAATTTATGTGTATATTTCGTTGTAATATCTACTAGTATGACAATTTTGGAAGATCCTGTGCACATGTACGGACATCTACGTATAAATAATGTGTGTAAAACGTAAACAAATCGTTAGGGGAGGAGCTGCCGCGGAAATATTATGTCGTGAAATTATATCGGGGCGACCGTATTACGACTGCTGCACAGTGCAACGACGCGGCGGCGGTGACAGTTTGAAATAATTGTTATTTATTAATATATAAAAACCGTCGGGGACGCCGCCGCCTCTTCGTTGAGGTAGGGCAGTGATATTGTGGCGTGTTCGTAAGACGGTATCGCGTGCGTGATGTATAATACTGCACCTCTGGTGGTGTATATACGCATCACATAATAGATATTATTTGGGATAACGGCAGCGCGGAATGGGGCGTCACCCGCCCAATGGTATACACACACACACACACACACATACACACATATATTATATTGTCGTAAAAATTACTGGCGTAGTACTGCGTACAAAATAATAATACACAATATTATACGCCATGCCATATAGTCGATATTAATTTTCGTGAGCGCGCGATAACGGCGTGTATAACGCTGTAATAAATTAAACGACGCTACACTGCGGCATCAGCGGCGGCGGCGGCTAGATTTTCAACGGTCGCGGCCGCCGCCGCGCATACTATGAGCCGCGGCAGACGGCGACGGGTAGAAAGCGCGCTCGGTTTTTGGGGCAACACGTTTTGGGGTACGGCGGCGTAGGGTTTTTCTCTCCGCACCGTGATCGGGGAGTCGGAGGAGGTTCACAGACTGATAAATGAGAGTTCATCGACACCGTCTAGACCCCCTCTCCTGCAACCCTCCGCCCGTCATCATCGCGTTTCCACCGACGTCGCTACCGCCCCAACCCCTTCGCCGACGGTTTGCACTGGCGCATTACGGACACGCGCAATAACAGCGTGCGCGCACATACACACACACACACACACACACACACACATGCGTACGCGAACGTGCTCCCCCCGCCCGGCGCTTTTGAGCGGGTATCCCACTATACATAATTATTGTGTGTATATAATAATATAATATACCAGGGCGTGTGGAGCAGGCTGTGTGTACCCCGCACCTTGGTCGTGGCGGGGGGTATCTCGAATTTCGACGGTGTGTATCGGTGGCGGTGGCGGCGGCGCTGTTGGTCTTTTATATATTGTTAGAGACGGTTGCATGGTGGGATGGCAGGGTAGTCTCGTATGTACAAAACCTTGTGCGTGTTGGGCAGGTCAAGTCGTCAACGGCGGTGGCAGGGATCGTTTCGGATCGATACTATCCGTCTGCAGGGTCGTCGACCGCTGTCGCCGTTGTTGCGTCGTGTCGTCGTCGTCGTCGGCCGGCGGAGTGGGTGAACGGCCAGGTGAGGTCCTGCTGGTGGTGGAGGGTTGGAAGGTTGGAAGATGGACGGAGCGGGAGACGTGTATCGATTATTTTCCGTCGCCGCCGGCTTTTGGGGGTTTCAATTATGGAGGGGACGTGTGGAGGAGTGGCTGCTACCCCGCGTTAGACTGCAAAAAACGAATAAAGTTTCGCGTATGTTCCGGCGCACAATGTGCGTCTGGTCACGTTCGCCGGCCAACAGAGGCTCCTTGAGGATTTTTCGTCGAACTGCCAATGGCCCTACTGGCGTTAAAAAAACATTAAACGTGTTAACGTTTTAGTTTTGGAAATTATTATTAACATAGAAATGAAACGGTTTCGAAACTTTAGGTTTTTATTTTTCATATCGAATAGGAAAATATTACAGAGGTTTATCGTAGAAAAAAAAATACTGCGCATTTTACTGTCTGTAACGCCAACTTCTGTGATGCAAACAGTACACGTACAGTGCTGCCAGTTCTCTGAGTTTTGATACTCATATAAATTTATACTCAATTATTTAATAATTTGTTTTTAACGTTGTAGACGTTCAACAAGTTTTTTTTAAAAAAGTTGTGGAGGTCCTGGGACTCTGGATTAGCCCAGATGGGGGGGGGGTATATTATAGCATAATCCCCCGTTGCGTTTCACAACTCTTAAAAAGAAAACCGTAAAATATATTTATTGAAAATTTTGTTGTAGTTTTCGATAAAATTTCCTCCACGAATAGCTAATTAATTAATATAATAGATTTTCGTAAGTTCACCATCAAAATTTTACGGCAAAATTCTGACTATTATGTACGTATATATTATTATATGCACTTGAATATAAATTATTACAATATTATGTTCGGGGACAAATAAGAAAACCCGTCGGTAGACGATAATTTCCTAGAAAATCCGATAGTTTCATTTTCGTGCGGTCGTCGTACATGCGCGACCTCGAACGACAATCGGGTACCCTCTCTACTTTTGCCGCCGCAGCCACACCACCGGCGCGACTCCCACCGGTTGCTAATGTCTCGCCACCCGCTGCCACCCCTGTCGCCACCACTACTGTATTACACATTTTTTTTTTCAGACGAACGTACGCGTCGTCTACCGCGTTTATTATACGGATTCGTCGGCTACGTATAAAATTCATACGTCGTCGTGCACAATATTCGTACGCGTTATTAGGTTTTAATTTAGAAAAAATTGTTCTTGTTATCGATAACGAACCACCTCAATGCCTCGCGTCACCTCCGAAAGTTCATACCTACACCGAATAAACGTTTCGAAAACGTTATACTATAGGAGTTTTCTATAGGGGTTAAAAGAAATATCGTATACTTACTTTTAAGTACCTAAACGTTACTTTTGAAAACGTCTCCACTTGCACCGATCCGTCCAATCGGAGATTTTTTTTTATAGAAGGGAGTCACGACAAAGGTTTTCAAAAATATATTAAACAAATTACCTAATCCCTCTACAATAAAATTGTACCGAATTATACCAATTTTTTTTTTTACATTTTAATGATCATCCTAAAGAGAAGATGACTCTTCCACTAATCTAATGCCCGATATCTATTTAAGGCTTAAGGCCGTTTATACAGACGAATATGACGGTTTTAGTCCAAAAATCTTGACAAAATTGCTGGAATTGTATGTATTTGACGGATTTCAATTTTATAAACGTATTATGAATTATTATTTATGGTTGTTTAGGTTCTTTGCTATGATTTGTTGAATTATATTTTAAATTTAAATTATTTTTTTCAAAAATACAATAAAATCTGTTTTCAATTTCCTGTAAAATCATTGAACTTTTATTTCCAACATATCCTTGTAAAGAACCTAAAGAATCATATTATAATCCGTGTTTAATACTGAAATCTATCAAACACAATTCCTAAAGTTTTATTCGGCTTTTAAATCTAAATTGACTAAAATATACGAGTACACAGTCATCAATTTAAATCAAAAAACGGATATCATCAAGACCGACAAGACCATTACAAATATACATATTTTGATTTCGCTATTTATACATTTTACGTCACAATTTTTAAAAAAAGACCTAGTTTATTAACATAATAGGCACTAAGCCAGTGAAGAAAGTGAGCCTTCCATCTCACCCTTTAAATCCTCGTCAACCCCCCTTCCAAATGTGCCGTCGAATATGATTATTGTTCTATTGTTTTCTCGTTATAATATACACTACCGAACAAAATAAAATCATTCCAACTAGCCACTGTTCAAAAATATCGGTCTCACATTCTAAAATTATTGATCTCTTGACATTTTGTGACTTATAGTCGACATCGATATACCTATACTCAAATTACTAATCTAATATTACTACTATCCAATTAATAATCTAATTAAAAGTATACATGGGCGATACTTTTATTCGATTCTCCGATACACTCAAAAGTCAAAACACGTATCAAATGTCGAGACCGGAGTTGTTTTTTTTCGGTACCTACCTATATCGATTGTGATATTAGATTCTGAATGGAACGAAGAAGCTGTTAATTTTACCGAAATAGCGTTACCTTTTTTTCTGTTATAAGTAAAATTTTCTAAAACTTTTACATCGCACCATCATAGATAAGATGAGGGGTTTTCACCGGGTGCAGTGTACACTTTATTTGAAATACTTTTTTAGATTTTATACATTTTATGTTTTTATATGTCTCGAATCTGTATTGCTAATAGTTTTTCTACCAATGTTTAAAAAAAAAACCGACACTGCGAAATAAATGTACCTAATTGTCATTATTATTCCTTTTTTTTTTGTATTGATTTCTGGTTTCCCTTAGTTACTCGGATAAAAAAATAAGGAACTAAAGGAAAAAAAAACCCATACCTTATATAATAAAACATGAACGTGAAAATAAATTAATAGAGTCCAATTGAGAATCATTATTTTGTTTGTATACTTGAATTATTATCAATAATATACATCGCGATAAAGCTTCTACTATACCATGATGAATAATCAAACACCATTTTTAAACATTATGGTGATTCAAAAACGAAATTCTCAGATACCACGTCAAAGAGAAAAATACAATATCCAAAATCTTCATATAGCTCGTTCTCATGTTGGATCATACGAGATAATTAAATTGTACGACCTAATTATATAAAACAAATTATAAGAATAATTAATTAATGTTATTAAATCGGCTGTGACTAGTAGCGTGAATGTACCTACCGAACGTGGGGATTATTAAAATGATAATGAGATCCTTTGAAACAAAACAATTGTTAGATTTTATGTATTTATTCGTATAAACGGAGAAAATGTGCCCGGATTAATTACTTTTTGTAACAATTTTCTGATGTAACAACGATTGACAAAAACATTGTTGTATGTTACAGATAAAAATATTATATTAAATTAATTTCGTAAAAGAAATAGGAAAATGTAATATTATTTGTTTTTCGCTCCATTATATTATTATGATCTTAACAATAGTTAATGAATGTTTGTATGGAAGTAGTTTTTGTTATGCAGATTATATAGCGGAAGTTCTTATAATATGAATTGTATTTAGATACCAAACGAGTTTGATTTTCACTTTATCGCAGTAGATTTTAGCGTGAAAAATATTCTATTTATTTATATATTTTTAGAGGAATGTTTTCTTTTGTCAATTTTATTTTCTTTATAATTCGCTTTTGAAATTCTCCGCAAGTCGCGCACGCGCGAACAATGTAGCACAGAGGTGAGCGAATGTTCAGCCCTTTCAAAATGGCGAATTTTCCTCGTAATATTGATCCCAATTTGTCGGAAGGAAATTTTTTCGCCCTACACATTGTACATACGCGCGTTGTCCATGTTAAGGAGTTAAATGCATATAAAAGATATTATTGCGTTTTGACTTTGACGAAAAATCACGGCGTTTTAGTTAGGCAATTAAAATTCAGTTACGTATATCGTATCGAATCTCATATACATTATTGTTGTAGATTTTATTTTATTTTTAGAAGTTTTCGTTTTATATAATTATTTTTATTACATTTAATAATAATTTAGTGTATTATATATATTATATATTATATAGGTATCAAAAAATGGGAAATCAATCAAAATATAAACGTTTTTGTTCAACAACAGTTATACAAATAAAATTATAAATTAATTAATTAATTAATTTACTAATGCAAATGTTTGGTATTATTTTTTTAATTTGCTAGGTAACGAATGCGGTTATTATGTAATTTATCTAAACAATGCCATGTGCATTAGAAATTAGTATAATAGACCGTTGTAATGTTTTACAATTGTAATTTTTAATGATTGCATCGTGTCTTCGAAAGCAACAACTGTGCAATTTAATAATTCATAACAAATATAAAAACATATCGTGTAATACTATTGTTTTTATTACAAGTACAAATTTAAGGAAGTCGAAGCCATATAGCTAGGCACGTTGGATTTGTATTCTTCTTCATTAACTCTCAATTTTTGCAATCAAGGACACATGAGTATTATTATATTTAATCGAAATGCTTTGATGCCGTAGCTGTGAAATATTTTTCATTTAAAATTGAATGTTATAAATTCGATGGTTGTTACTTTTTTAAGAATTATTATTAATAATATTCACTAGCGGCTAGGTGTAAAGAATATTATAAACTAAAGATTGTTTAAGTTATTATAGAAGGTGTATAGCTGCAGTAAATTGTATCAGTTTTAATTAAAACTGATAATACCTATTAAAAAAAAAAAAAAATTATATCAATCAATATAAAAATGTTTTTTATATTCAAATGCGATTCGTAAAGAGGTGATTTATTATTACAATTCGCTCATATTTGTTAAAAGTCTATATAACATAACTGTTAGCAATTACTTTTTCTTTTAACATTTACTGCTTATTTGCTATATACAGCTCCCAAATGTGTTATACAAAATTGTGTAATAAATAATAATAATAATAATAATAATTTCTATAAAATTATAGAAATTATACTTATACTGTAGCATTATTAAAAGATTAATATAATTTATATATTCGATATTTCGATTATTTTGCCTATAGGTCTTCTCTATAATTAAATATATATATATTTTTAAATACATATCCGTATAAAAACTTATTTAAATAAAATAATACTTTTCTCGTTTGTATTCCACGTAGAGTTTAAACAATGCATAAGCCTATAAAAGCTTATAATATCGATTGCACGCGTTTATTTCCATAGATTTGGCATTAACAAAGTTCAAGGCTGTTTT